AAAAAAAATTGAGTTTATGTTAGTATATTTTGAGTTTATGTTAGTATATATTCCACTCAAGCAGTCGCCAGGTAGTATATTTTGAGTTTATGTTAGTATATATTCAGTGTTGTTGTAATATTATAATTCACGCAGCCGCCAGGTGGTATATTTTGAGTTTATGTTAGCACATATTGAGTATATGTGCAATAAAAACCAAGTCTTCCAGATAAAAGTTATTTCGGATATACTCGGATATACCCAACATATAACCCAAAAAAAAAGGAATTATTAAACAAATAACCAGAGAAAAATTACTTCGGATATACTCGGATATACCCGAATCTCATGAATGTTTCAACTAAATAAATAAAAAAAATTGCAACTCTGCAAATGATAAATCTTGCGAATGAACACATCCACCACTTTGTAGCCCGGGTCAATTTTGTCTTGGCAACGGTGCCCTCATCCCCGCAGTCGTCGTAATAAATCTACTCGCAGAATCTGAGAAAAAGAAAAGAGGTCAACTCCGAAAATAAATCCGTAAAATCCACTAACCTTTTACTCAAATTTTTATGAGGAATTAGCCAAAAAAAAAAAAAAAAACGAAATAGAAATCAACACCAGAATTCACAAGAACAAAGGAAGCACGAGGGATGGGAGATGATCGGCAATACAGACGAAACGACGGGAGATGATCGGGTCGTCCGCGAGGCGACGGAAAATCTGGAGACAGATTTTGGAGAGAGAGAGAGAGAGAGAGAGAGAGAGAGAGAGAGAGAGATAGATAGATAGATAGAGAGAGAGATAGAGAGAGAGAGAGAGAGAGAGAGAGAGAGGACGTAGGCGGTGGGTTGTTTTTACAGTGAGAGTTTTATTTTAGCATTTAATATGCAGAGAAGAAAGGGGATAACATTAATATCAGGTAAAATTAAAAATATTTTAGCTTGGTTAGGCAATTTTATAAATAAAAATATATGGGTCATATAAGTGTAATAAAAATTATAGTTGATGGTAAGGGGTGCAAATTCCTCTTATTTGTACATTTTGGTACTAATACGGAATTCGCCTCAAGGAAAAATAACATTCATGTCTATGGCCTACATGGCCCGGCCCACAAAAGATGCTGATTACGTTCAATCATTTCTCTAGATGCTAATACGGGTCGGGGACTTGCTGATACGCGACAAACAAACAAAACTCTCTATTCTCGGACAAGGCATGACAGACTATTATAATTGTTCCAAACGTAGGGGTCAGATTTTGATTACGAAAAAAAAAAAAAGCCTTGTCTGGGCATCTTTGCTGAGTAGCCCGATGGAACATTATTAATGGGTTATTAAAATTGGGCCTCCTCTGTAAAAGACACCTAACTAAAGCCCAGTCATTTGGGCCAGACTAGACAAAACAATCAATTCCCTCACATGAAATTGATTAGGAAAAATTACACCACCTTCTTATTTTATTTGTATATTTATAATTTAGACAAAAGAAAAATACAAATAAACAAACTTTATACCTAAAAATACACTATGTCGTACTCTAAGCAAAAAAAAGGTTGCAAATAACCCTTTTGAATAGCATTTTTTTAGACAAGTGCTATGTAAAAAACGTAACCCTTAGATAGAATTTGATTTAACAAGCGCTACAAGAAGAGTAAAAAATACATAACACTCCTTTTTTATGTGAAGGAGTGTTCCAGTCATACGGATTTACTCAATGTCCGGATGATCAATGTGTGTACAAGAAGCAGGCGTGAGGGTTGGCGGAGTGGATGTCATCGTCGCCGGCGCTGCTGAGCGCGACAGACTGAGCTCAGTAGGTGACGAGGGCTGAGGCATGCTCGCTGGTCTTGCGTGGACGTCGGCCTCTCCGGGGACGTGATCGAAAATATTTATGGTTGCGGCTGCACTGTGACGGCGGTTTCGTTGAGCTTGTTTGTGTGTGTGTGCACTTGTACGGCGGTTTCGTTGAGCTTGTTTGTGTGTGTGCACTTGTGTAGTGTGTTTTTGTGTATGAGAGAGAGTGGCGTAATGTGTGTGTTTAAGGTAGGTGAGAGAAAGGTTAGGTTAGTGGGGGTTGGGGTATGTCCCACTTGTAAGTTGAATTATGACTAATGACATGTTTATTTTTAATGAGTGATCAAATACATATATCTGACCATGTATGTTAAATTACTATGTTGCTATTAATGATTGGCAAAATTTGACTTAATTTTAACCATTGATATAATATATCCAGTGATCTTGATTTCTTCTCATTTCTTTCACTATATTCATTTCTCATCTGATCTCAATTCTGTATATATATAATTTTGCAATTTAAGATTAATTATTTAGTTCAACAATTGATCCGATAACTCGACAGTTGGCCTGATGACCCGAAGCTTGTCTGGATTGATTCCCTGACTAGTTTTAAAAACAATGTTAGGCATTGAACAAAAATAGTTTACTTGAAAAAAAAAAAAAAAAAACAATTTAAACATTAAAGAATCATGAAAAATAGTAAATAGAGACCGAAAATACAATAATTAGTCAACGTGCTCGAAAAACTTGGTTTACCACACAACATCAACTTGGTTTTTATGCCAAAAAATGTTTTCCACATTAAATGTTGGTACTGTGTGCGAAACAAATTTTTTTCAAGCACATTAACTATTTTTTATATTTTAGTGTTTATTTACTATTATTCCTTTGCTTGAACCTATTTTTGTTAAAAAAAAAAAAAAGCCTTCTATACAATAAAAATTTCAATTTGTTTATCAGATTATAAAATAAAATAAATTCCTTTAATTGAGTAAAATGTCACCAATTTATTTGGGCTTAGGCGGCGACCACACAACTAAGCATGTTCGCCCCATTATGAAAACTACCCATACGTAATATGCTCACACTATATATCTTACGTAAAATTTTGTATGAATGCCACGTTATACACCTACATTTCGATTAATACTTCCTAGTGTTGCCACCTCCCATCAAATTATATTAAATTAATACCATAAAAATAACTGCCTGCTTGATGGTGATGAAACATTTGCAACAAACTCTTCACTTATTTACAAGTTTTTTATTTTTTTTTTATTATATATATTTTTATTTTTTTATTTTAGTATGGGGCAATAAAGAATCAATTTCAGAGATGAGAATATAAGGAGATGCTACAGTCACGTTATGAAACTATTTCGTCAGAGTTTATAATCGTTAGATCAACTAATTCTGACGGAATGGTTCTATACCGGAACCGTAACATTTCTCAAAAATATGTCCCTATAAATATGTCCAAATTCTCATTTTTTCTATCTCAGCATTTCATCCCACAAAAAAAAAAAAAATTAAAAAAAAAATCCCAAAAAAAAAAAAAAAAAAAAAAAAAAAAAAACCAAAAAAAAAAAAAAAAAAAGCAAAATGGCAACCCAACAAAACCATTATAGGTCTATCAGCTTCCCTTCAAGATCATCAAAATCCACGAATTTTCAAGCCCACATACAAAACCTCAAATCTCTTGAAACTAACCTCACCTCGGAAGCCATTCAGGCTGCGGTTCTAAACCTCGCCGAATTACACAACTTCGTACAAGAATCACTTGCCCAATCTCAAAATTCTCAAAACACAAACTCGTCGATCGAAGAATCCCTTTCGGCCTCGGTCGATTTCCTCGACGTCTGCAGCAGCATTCGGGACCTCGCGCAGATGATCGGAGAAAACGTCCGGTCCCTTCAATCCACTATACGAAGGAAGGGCCTCGATTTTTCCCACATCGAAAACGAGATGAATTCGTATTCCTGTTTCAGAAAAAGGGCGAACAAATTCGCGGCGAAAACCGTTAAATCACTTAAGAATATGGAAAGCAAGAACCGGTCGAGTCTTTCGTCCCCGGTTGACGAAAACGGCGGTTTCGCCGGGGTTTTAAGTGATTTGGGTGGCCTGACGATAGCCATTTTGAAGAGCACTCTCTTTTTCTTGTCCTGTTCAGAAGCTGGCAAATCCGGCGGCTGGAAATTGATTTCCAGGTCTCATAGTCGTAATAATTGTCGGTTTATTAGCGAGGTTAGGTGTGTAGATTCATTGTTGAGTGTGGTAAGAAGTGGAGATTCTAAGACCTTTGACGTGAAAATGGTGCTCGCGAGTTTGCAAAATCTTGATGAATGTGTTGAGGGGATTGAGGCAGGGCTGCAGAGATTGTTTAGGCAATTGTTGCAAAATAGGGTCACACTTCTTAATATTGTTACCGATCATTGAGATTGAACATTATAATGTATGATCAACGGTTCCGAGAAACAAAATTTTGTACTATCTATGTTACGGTAAAAGTTGTTCGGTCAGACCTAATTGTTAGACATTTATACCATGTTTCGTAGAGATGCTGTTACATTAAACGAGCCTGGCTCGAGTTCCGCTCGAGTCCGAAGCATTAACGAGCCTAGCTCGAGCTCATTTAAAGCTCGTTTGGCTAATGAGTCGAGCTCGACTCAGCTCGATAAGACTCGAAAATAGAATTTTTATATAATTTTTTATAGTTCAACTTGTTAAAGCTCGAAATTGGCTCGTTAAAGCTCGAAATTGGCTCGAGATCGATGTCAAGCTCGTTTATTTAACGAGTTGACTCGTCTTGTTAAGGGTTCGAGCTCGAGCTTGAGCACCCTAAGCTCGAGTTCGACTCGTTTACAACTCTACTGTTGACCATACCAAATTTTTGTAAGATAGTTACATTCTTAATAAATATGAATACTTTTATATACAATTGTCATCATTTCAAAAACTAACATAAATAAAAATAATTTTTTTCCCATTATACATTTTTATTTGATAAATGTAACGGACACAACCACTTGACCTGCTTCAAATTCAAAAGCAAGAATTTGTATTCTCAATGTGTAAATATCCACAATATTATTTGAAAATTGGTTGAGTAAAATGTCACTAATAATTGGGAAGGCAGAGGGACAACTGGCGCCCTTATTATTGCCCCATATCTTATTCACATTTGCATAGCCACGTTATACAACCACGCTCGATCACTGCTCCTCCTGTTGCCACATATTATGAACAATTTAAATATATCATAAAAAAATTGCTTGGTTTGATGGTGAACAACCAACAAACTCAATTTTAAATTTTATTAAGGAACAAAAAGGCATGGGCGCCCACATGAAAAAAATCAATTCCCAGGATTAGATTATGTCATATTTTGAAAGAAACATTACATTAAGATTATAGAGGTTGGTCTCGCATAGCCGCGCGCGGTGTTTGTTATGTTTTTGTGCTTATCTTTTATGTGTTTATGTGTGTTATAGAGTAGATTTTAGGTTCATTTTGGCGTCGATTGGTCAATTTTATCATTTTTCGTGTGTTTTTGTGTTTTTCGTTTTATTTTATATTTTTGGCGTACTTCTCCGTATTTTGTGGTGATTTTCAGGATTTGTTCCGAGGATGAGGAGACGAACACTTTCCCAATAGTTCTGAGTTATTTCCGAGCAATTTCGAGCCATTTCGTACGAGCCATTTCCAACCGAACATGTCGAGTCCTTAGCCGAGCCCGGACGCGACCACGCGGAAGGCCCGGCGACCTCGCGGACGCATAAAGCCATCACTACCATACGCCCGCGTGCACGCAGATGCAGCCGCGAGCTCGAGAGTGCCCGGCTACCGCACGACCGCAAGCTACCGCACGCCCAGCAAGACTCTCGACCTCGCGAAAAGCACGGCGACCTCGCGAGTGCCGCCTGCTCCATTCGCGTGTTCGCGGATCTCCCGGCGAGCTCGAGAGTTCCGTGACCGCGCGCCCCATGCCGCCAGCGCACAAAGAGTGCTCTTGATCAGAGCAAGTCGGCCTCCGAAGGATAGGTGTCTGTGCGACCAGCCAGAAATCTGGTCAATCATCCTCTGACGGATGTCGATGAAAAGCTCATGGGAGAGATGTCCCTTGTACAGGGGGCCCCAAGGTAAGGGATGGGTAAGTCCCCACGATCAAATCCAGTGCGCTCGTGAATCCGGTGGGCCCAATGGTCTGCAATGTGGTGGACCATAATAAAGGTGCTCTTACTAACACTGACTAGCTGGCCAGATGTCTCACTGTAGTGGTCCATCTTCTGATATAAATCACAATCTCGTACAATTGAATATAAAATTCTTTTTTACTCTTATTTTGATTAGTGTTTACAAGAAGGGTAAATAATTTTTTCCAACCTGTACCTATACGTGCTTTTGGGATATTCAACCTAAAGTATTTTTTGTTGTAAAATGCAACTTGAACTACATATACAATCACTATTTACACGCTCGACCACATCTTGACCATACACGTGTCCTTTTGTGCATATGATCGGACGGTCAAAAAGTAGTCGAGCGTGCAAATAATTGTATATATGTAGTTCAAGTTGCATTTTACAACAAAAAATACTTTAGGTTGAAAATCCCAAAAGCACGTATAGTATAGGTTGAAAAGAATTATTTACCCTTACAAGAATGGTATATATGTAAATATCTCTAGATAGATCTATATGTACGTAATTTTCCCTTTTATTTACCCGTTGAAAGAAAGCCCAATTAGTTATGCTCAACAGACAGGGCCCAACGAGTTGCAAGTAGTTTCGATTGTAATTAGTTAAGGAGATATTGATCCGGCTCAAATCTACATTTTTGGGCACGTTTAGGGGATGCTTGTTTATAAATTGGATCCAAAAAAATCCAATCATTTTTAACTCAACATTTTTTTTTAACTCAACTTTAACTCAATCCACTATCATCAATATAATTAAATAATATCAATCAATCAACCCACTATCATCAATATTATCAATATAATTAAATAATATTAATCAATCATTCTTACACACAACATCAACCTTAATTTACTATTCATCTACTCACATAATTTAACTAACCATCGCATCACATCTCATCTCCTACTTTTACATCAATTTAATTTTAATCATTTTATTTTAAAAATTATTTTAATATACCCACTAACAATTAATCATACCAACTTTTTCAAATTTAACCAACTCAAACCAAAAATCCAATCAAAACCAAAAAAAATTTATAAACAAGCATGCTCTTATGAACTGGACGGCATCATAAAACTGTTATAGAATTAAATTACTCATTTAATCACATCTAGACAATCTCCAATTAAAAATTAAAATTTCATTCTAAATTTAATGCACCAATTGTCATATCAAATTGTAAATACACCATACACCACCATTCATTCTTAAATCCTCCCTATATATAATTCTCGAATACGCGTAGCTTACGTGGTTGCTTCTGGTGATTCAAAATCTTACTTGGCGAAGAATCATGCTTTGTAATTAGGTTTGGACAAATAATATAGATATATTAATAATTAATAATTTATGTTCGGACATTCTATAAATTTATTTAGCTAACTTAGGTATTTTAATATCACTTGTACTAATATAACTTTTTTTTTTGTACAAATTATTTTTTTGGTACAAGTACTAATATATAGGGGTGAGCAAAACCGAGCCGAAACTGAAAAACCGAACCGAACCGGGCGATTTGGTGCGGTTCGGTGCGGTTTTTGACGATCTCGGTTAACGGTGCGGTTTGGATTTTGGAAAACCGCAGATGTTTCGGTGCGGTTCGGTTCTCCGTCCGAAAGGTGCGGTTTTAACCGAACCGCACCGCATATTAAAAAAGTGTCATTTTAATTTTACCACTCTACATATATATTGTATACATATTGCACTTTTAAAACATAAAAAAGAAAACTTTGAGTGTTGGACATATTGTGGTTGTTTAATTTTGATTTTGTAATGGCATAATCATAATGATATGTTGTTTGTATTTTTTTTTATTTGTAGTAATTTTTTTTTATTTGCGGTTAACCGAAAAACCGCACTGCACCGAACCGAACTTTTCGGTTCGGTTTGGTCCGGTTTTTTTTTTTTCTTGCGGTGCGGTGCGGTTAAAAAATTTTAGAAAATCGGTTTTCGGTTTTTTTGCGGTGCGGTTCGGTTTTTGACCGAACCGCACCATGCTCACCCCTACTAATATAACTCTTTAATTCTTTGTAACTGTACATAGTGATATACTAAGTGACTAATATATCCCTGACTTTTGATTTGTTTACTTCAATTTAGCTATTGAATTATAAATGTATTTTAAAAGTTGATAACTTTTGTATTTCTTATCGGTTTTACATATATAATATATCAAATTAATCATCTTTCATGATTTTCGATTTGACATCCATATTGTATATATAAAATAAATAAATTATATTTATCTTTATAATAATAAAAAATAATAATATTTATTAAAAATTATTAAAAAAATCAAATTATTTCTCAGTTGATATATTTATGTTTAATATAGTTATATGTTGTAAGTTAAAAAAATTATTATAATTAACACAAGTCACACAAATAAAAAATGTCATACTAAATATATAATAATATATATATTTTAATAAAAGGTATTTAAATTTTCAACTACTTTTTCTCATTAATTTTAAATTTTAAGGAAAAAATTAGCAAGCACCCATGTAATACATGGGCGTTGTACTAGTTCAAATAATATTTCCAACATATTCTCTTCCACGCCAATTTTGTGAATTTTCAATGCTATTACACATATTTAATAACTTTACATATTCTATCTCATTAGTATTTTATATTCAATAAAAAAGAAACAAGTAACAAAATTAATTATAATTTGAAAATATGTACATATAAAAATATTGAAATTAAATATTTATTAAATAGAAAAAATTACATTAGTTTGTGGCTTATGATGTATTTTATTTGGTTATTTTTAAAGTTTCACCAAATTCTATTAATATTGGATTGATTGCTATATATCCAATTTATTTTTGTATAATTCATAAACGATGTCAAAGAATAATATTACATTAATTACGTAATGGGAATACAAGAAATTTGGTGTTGGTGTAATTATCTCTCGTGTTTCTTACTATATTATTACTAATTACTAATAATATTATTACGGTTTCATTGTAAAAAAAATAACAAGATAAAGTTGTGGAAATGAAATGTTATGTTTTTTTTTTTTTTTTAATACTTTTACTCAAATATGAATACAGATTAAAATTTAGTTGACCATGAAATTAGCTTTGCACGCCGGCCAAGATGATATTGCACTTGTCACACCGTCCAAATTTGACTTTGTAGATACAAATTAAATTAAATAAAAACACGCAAAAAAATTGGATCGGTGTAAACATTTTGCTACAAAACTGAGTGGCTATGTGTCAAAATGATATGATTTTGTTAAGCCCCGCCTACTAAATTCATGGGAAAGTAAATGAGGTATAAAATAATATTTAAAATACAATAATTAAAATTGATGTAAAAATATAAGAGAGATAATGTGAATTAATGGTTAATTAAAATCATGTGAGTGAATTAATAATAATTGAAGTTGATGTGTTATGTAAGAATGATTGATTGATATTTAAGTTTGAATTAAGTACGTAATAGCCCAGCCAACCCGTGATAGGATATTGTCTGCTTTGGACACGTTCACCCGCACGGTTTTACCTTTGGGAAAACCGTATGGGTAAGCGTGCCCAAAGCGGACAATATCCTAACGCGGGTTGGCTGTGCTGTTACAGAGTATGTGCTAATATTTATAAACAAACACACCTCCTCCGCTCTACTTTACTATTAAGTTTACTACAGAATAGAGAACGCTGAAATTTAATTTTCGTCTCTAGTCGTTTACGCCACATTTTACTCTAATGAAATATGTTAGTACAGAATAATATAAATACAACGATAAAATCAATATTTAAAACTACTTAACAAAATAAATAACCTTATTAATGTATATTTACTTAGTCAAAACAAAAAAAAAAAAAAAAAAAAAAAAAAAAAAAAAAAAAAAAAAAAAAACTTAAATAAAATGAAAAAAAAATCGAGAAAAAAAATGTAGCGCAATGAACAGTGTCATTACATGTAGCGCAATACTTTTCATATATTCAGAGTAGTGCGAAAAAGTAGCACAACATTGAAACAAGTTTTTTGCACAACTCTAATGTGGAGTAACATTGTAGCGCAACATTGAAGATTGTTAGTGTTGTGACATGCCACTTCGGAACTATCAATGATTTAAGTTTGGGGTTTGTCTAACTGTAACTTTATACCATATTTATATAGTCTCTGGAGCTCATTCATTGCATTATTGGAGTATAATTGCATTATTATGCTTTAATTTTATTCTTGTTGTAAAGGTATTATACATGCTTATTTTGTAGATATTTTCATATTTTTGTAGAGTTTTTGGCTATTGGAGGCGCATGGTGAGTACCTATAAGACCCCCCGAATGATAAAAGATTGATGCACTGATGAAAAAAATGGAATAAGCGAGTAAAACGAGCAAGAAAGAGCGTGCAGATTTGTGACACGGTCAATGACACAGGCACCTGGGACCTCACACGGGTCGTGTCACATTAAAAGTACCAAAATTTGTAACCTGGGACCTCACATGGGTAGAATGGTTGTGTCGCGTGTGTAGGCCGGTTTTGATTTCTTGCCTTTTTTAAAAAGGAGAAGGCTTTTTTATGGTATAAAAGGTATAATTACCCTATTTTGATGGGCGAAAACGTGAGAGACAAAGGATGAGACCATAGAACATACAAGAGAAGCAATTGCGAAGCAAAATAAAAATTCAACTACGAAGGAATCAATGAGATTGAGAAATCAACGAGATTCCTAGTTTTTCTTTCTTCTTTTTTTTTTGAACTTTATTTTTTATGTCAATTTCTAAAATGTCTATGTATTTGATTTCG